ACGTATTTTACTTGAGTATATGTTTTAAACCCCACAAAACATTGCTGTTTTAAAAGTCAATATTAATTTATTTATATTTTATTCTCTTTTTGTTTGTCTGTTTTCCTTCTTGAATTTCCTTGCTTTCACCTGGGATCATTATTCTTCTGCTTAAGGAACTCTCTTTAGAATTTCTTTTAGTGGAGGTCTGCTAGCAACAGATTCTCTCAGCTTTTGTTTGTCTGTTTTTACAGCACATTAAAGGATATTATTTCAATGTCTTCTGAGTTCTATAATTTTTGTTGAAAAGTTAGCCATCAGTTTTATTGTTGCTTAAGGTGCTGTCTTTTTTTTTTTTTTTTTTTTCCTTTTTTCTCTGGATGCTTTTTAAGATTTTTCTCTGTCTCTGATTTTCAGCAGTTTGACTATGATGTGCCTAAAATGTGGTTTGCTTTCTGTTTATCCTCCTTCTGGTTTCAAAATCTGTGGTTTATGGCTTTTGTCAGTTTTGGGAAAATTCCCAGCTAAAATTTCTTCAAATATTGCTCTATCTCATTGTCTCTTCTTCTGACATCCCAATTACATGTATGGTAAATCTTTTCCCCATGTCCCATGTATCTATCATGTTATTTTCTGTGTTTTCTGTTCTTCTTTTCCCCCTCTCTGTGCTTCAATCTGGATGTTTTTTTCTTACTGAACCTACTTCTAGAGTTCACTAATCCTATGTTTTGCTGTGTTTAATCTGCTATTAAACCCATACATTGAAGTCTTAACTTTTGTATTTTTTTCAATTTCAGACTTTCCATTTTCATTCTTTTTATAAACAGATTCCAGGTCTCTTGTGAAAGTCGCCATCTTTTGCTCTAATTTCTTAAACATATTAATCACAATTATTTTAAATTTAACAAATGAATATCTATTTTGTTGTCTGTTTTTCTCTCTAGGTTTTCAGTTGTTTAATCCTGTTTTTTTAGCATGCCTCATTATTTTGGATTGAATGATGGGCATTTTGTATGAAAAACTGTAGATTCTGGATGTTATTTTTCTTTAAACAAGATTAAGCATTCTTCTGGTAGGTAGCCATAATATAGGTAGATCATCTTAAACCTGTTGAGGGTTGGTTTTAGACTTTGCTAGGGATGATATAGTTTAGCTTTGCCCTTTCTCCAAGGTACTTACTCTTAGAGTATCATCTTTCCTCCCAGACAGTGACCATTTGGCGGTATTATCTGAAAGCCCAGAGTGGTTACCAAGGCCCCTCACCTTGTTGGGTTTGAACTCCAACCTCTGTTACCCAGCACTGTGTTACTGCTAGAATCTTTTCCTAGATCTTTAGCCTTACAGCTGCTCTTTTCTGCTGGTGTTATTGAAATCTCATTTTGTGCAGCTTCAGAGTTGGCAATGCGTCAAGGGAAAATTGCATAGAGATTTTTGAACTCACTTCACTAGTATTACCTCCATTTCAGGATTTTGCTTCTCAAGTGTCTGGCACATTGACATCCTTGAACTCCAACTTTTGTCCTCAGTTCAGCAACACTGCTGTTTTCTGTTTGGGCTCTATTCTCTAATGCTGCAAATTGTCAAATGGCCTCAGGGAAAAAAACCAGAGTGAATGTAGTGCTTACCTCTGTACTGCTCTCTCTCAAGGATCCTAGTCTTGCCTGCATTGATTGCTTCAAACAATGCTTTTATGTACTTTGTTCATCTTTTAATAGTTGTTTTTATTTGGTGGGTTAGTCTAACAGAAACTACTCTGTCATAACTGGGGTGAAAATCCTCATTTGTTCTTTTGATGTGTCCACATTTGTTTCTGAGCTCTTCTGTGGTTTTTTGAAAATGATATCTCATGGTCACTTGTACGTTCCCTGCCCTCAAGCCTGTAATCAACTATTTTTCCTTTTAGTTTACAGGGTAGTGATATTTCAAAATCAATATCTGAGTCCTAGGACCATCAGTGGATGTTAAAGCTATTAAGTTAAAGGAAGTTGGGGAATAGTATATTCACACGATGCCAAAGTATCATCCATTAGATTTCTTGCTAATTGCAAAGAGGAAAACCTACCTTTATGGTGGAGAGAATGGGTATTCATTACCCTAACCAAGTGACCAAAGTTAGCATTGGTAACAGTAAAAAACCCTGACATCTGTGCCTCATGATGTAATGTAATATGATGTGCATAGCATCTCCTATTAAGTATTCTTGCCAAAAATGTTTTACTGGCATCTGGGCATGCTTTTAGACCTAAAGGAAATACAGGGGATTGAGGAATAAGTTAAATGATACTATTAAGAATCAATCAGACAAATCTAAAATGTGGGATATTCTACAACCGGCCTGGGCTCTTCAAAAAGTCATTGTCATAGAAAAAATGGTAGTGGTAGGGTACTGGTACTAGTCTTAATTAAGAAACTGAAGAAACATAACAACCAAGTGCAAGGAGTGAATTTTGTTTAGATTTTAGTTTGGAAGAAAAAAACCTAGCTATAAGTGACATTTTTGGGACAACTGGGAAAATCTGAATGAGGAGGTATTTGATGATATAGAGAATTATTTTTAATTTTCCAAGGTGTAATCATGGTATTGTGGCTATGTAGACTAATGTCCTTGTTTTTTTTTGGTGAGGAAGATTGGCCCTGAGCTAACATCTGTTGCCAATCTTCCTCTTTTTGCTTGAAGAAGATTGTTCCTGAGCTAACATCTGTGCCAATCTTCTATATTTTTTGTATATGGGACACCTCCACAGCATGGGTTGATGAGTGGTGTGTAGGTCTGTGCCCAGGATCCAAACCTGTGAACCCTGGGCCACCAAAGTGGAGTGCATGAACTTAACCACTACGCCACTGGGTGGGCCCTATGTCCTTGTTTTTAGGAAATGTTGAAGTACTTAAGGATGAAGTGTCATGGTGTCTGTAACTTACTTTCAAATGGCATACACTCATATACATGCACACATATTAATATGTATGTATAGAGAAGAGAGAAAGAGACAAAAAATAAGTGGTGAGTATACAAATGTTCATTGTACTATTCTTTCTGTAGTTTACAATTTTCACAATAATGAGTTGGGGGAAAATCAATGGGGAAAGTAGGTTCAACGTTAGAATAAAAGTAAGCATGTTCCATATTCCTTTACAAAATTATAGAAATTGGGAGGAATGTTATTAGCTTCTATGAAAAAAATAAAACACAAAAAAACGCATGTAGTAATAGAACATTCTCCACGAAATTCCTTGGCAGTAAATATTTTCTAAAATTTCAAGGGACTTTCTCTAGATTTCAAGGGAATTATTTTATTTTGTGGGGGAGAGGATAGAGGGAGGAAATATTTAGACTAAAACAAATAGTGAAAGACATATTTTTCAGTTCTCTACTGCTTTTTACTCAATTTAGCTATGTCAATTTTGGGAACATGATGTAATGATTATGGCGAAAAATGCTAGCTAAAGAGTTTGAGAATGTTGCCAGGTACTGTGCAATGTGCCAGGCATACAGGGTTTGAATAAGCAAAAAGAGACACTGGTCCCTGCTTTCATGGAACTGATAGTCTAGTAGGGAAGATAGATATTAATTAAACACTTACACAAATATATAAACTGTGATAAAAGCTACAAAGTAAAAGTGGAATTCTCTAAAGACTGTAATGGAGGGATCTGAGGCAGTTCTGGAAGACTTTCTTAGGGAAGTGTTGCTTGAACTGAGAACTGAAGGCAGAGGTGGGGTTAAACAGGCAAAGCTGCGGGGAGTGACTATCAGGCAAAGGGAAAAGCATGTGCAACTAGCCTGCAGAGGGAAGAAGCATGGGATATTTGAGAAACTGAAAAGTGGCCTATATGGCTGGAGCATAGAAAGTGAGGGAGCAGTACAAGTGAAGTGGGAGGAGGAAACAGAGGCCAGGTTGTATTTAAGCATTATGGGAAATTACTGAAGCAGGAGAGTAACACAATCAGATTTGCATTATTAAAAGTTCTCTCTGGGCCAGGTCTGGCCTGGTGGAGTAGTGGTTAAGTTCATGTGCTCTGCTTTGGCACCTGGGGTTTGCAGGTTTGGATCCGGGGTGGACCTACTCACCGCTCATCAAGCCATGTTGTGGTGGCGTCCTGTATACAAAATAGAGGAAGATGGGCATAGATGTTAGCTCAGGAACAATCTCCCTCACCAAAAAAAAAAAAAAAAAGTTCTCTCTAGGGCTCGCCCCATGGCATAGTGGTTAAAGTTCCACGTGCTCCGCTTCAGTGGCCCAGGTTCTCAGGTTCAGATCCCGGGCGCAGACCTACGCCATTCGTCAAGCCATGCTGTGGCAGTGACCCACATACAAAATAGAGGAAGATTGGCACAGATGTTAGCTCAGGGCTAATCTTCCTCAGCAAAGCAAAAGTTCTCTCTGGTTAAAGTATGGAGAAAAAATGAAAGAGGTGATTATGGTAAAAGGCTGTTACAGCAATCTAGGCAAGAAATGATGGTAGTTTGGAGATGGGAGGCATGGTAGTGGACATGTAGGTACACGGATGGATTTGAGAGATATTTAGAGAGTAGAATTGATGGGTAATGGTCTGGATGTGTAAGATGAGGGAAATGTCATGGATGCTTTTCAGGTTTCCAGTTTCAACAGCTACATGAATGGTAGAGCCATTCCCTGAGAAAAGGAATATCAAATGAGAAACATATTTGAGTTTGTTTCTGAGTTTGAGATGTTCTTAAGGCATGAGATGTTGAATAAAGGTACCTCCATATGTCTAGATAGTTTTTAAAATTATAAGTCTACAATAATTCACCACCAGTGGACAGAATTTGTTCCCAAAAGGAACGAAAATTAAATAGAGATGAGCATCAAATAGTTCTATTAGAGTTCCTGATTATATACTCTGATGAACCAGAGATGTTCCCTTGGGGCCGCTTGTGAAAGAATTTAATTAATTATATTTTATTATCTGTTTTAGCATATGTTTTACCTTAGTCAGTGTTTGAAAGAAAGCTAAAATATCAAATTAATTTTACTTTTTCCGTCTCTTTCATTTTCTAGGCATAATAGGAGTCCCACAGCTAAATATGATCAGTGTCTTTTCTCAAATTTATAAAAGAGGTGGAGTGACAGGATTTTTCAGAGGCATGACTCCAAATTTCTTGAAGTTGCTTCCTTCAGTATGCATAAACTGTATAGTTTACGAATCAATAAAACCACTCTTGGGAATAGCATAGAAATGAAATCTTGAACTGTCATCTTATGTACATTTACTTATAAGCATGAAAATGTCTCATCTTTCTCCTTAAATTGCAAGAGGTCTGTATGAAAAGATGCTATATCCATTCTCCAAAAAGATAAACATGCAAATTAGATTTAAATATTGAATTTTAATTTTATGTAAGCCAGAATTACAGTTCATTAAGTTCTTTATGGATTAAAATCTTTAATATTCATAAAATCGAGTTAAGCGTTTTTAAATTTTAATGAACATGCATTGGAAATTTGCATTTAAATGGATTGAAATGGAATTTATATTACCTGATATAACTTAATTGCATTATTAACCTAATATAATTTTATGTTATAGAACAAAATTGGAATATTCTGAAGTTTTTCAGCATTTTCTACTTTATATTTTAAAAAGCTAACATTGCTTTACATACAGATTTTATATCTGTTTGAAAGCATTAAAAGAAAACCAATGCATTTAAAATTATAATTAATAGAGTAACAGGGGTGTTTGAGCTCCTTTTCTTTCTCTAAACTAAACAAAACAAAATAGAAAGTCCTAAACAGAATTACCCGGCATCAGAACACTTCAGTCTCCTACCCACGTTGTGAATGGAATACTGGTGACCTATTGCTCCCTTACTGAGCACAGGTATTTGTGGATACAGATATTTTTAGCTTAATCTTGGTTCTTAACATTGCCAAATATTGCAAGAAAGTCAACAATGTGAACAAAGTAAATCAGAAAAATTTGAGAGCTCTTGTACTTAAATCTGTGTTTCAAAAAAAGGGAACAGGACTCCTGAATGAGTTCGTATATATTTTTTCTATCCTTTATACTGTGCTTTTAAACTCAGTTCTTTAAGAATAAAAAAAGGCTGACTGGAACCTCCCCTCTGAAATCTTAAACTTATATGGAGGATGAATAGTATTTTAATTTTACCTTTAGAAGTTTTTTGTTTTGTTTTATATTTTGCCTCTATCTTTTCAATTTGTATTGAGAGAGAATAGGTCACAGATATTTTAAGATTTGTATATATAACTACATTTTAAAGATTGGATTGGCTCTAAAATTGTGATTTAATGATATATAATTATAAATTATATAATTTATATTACAGCCAATAACTAGTAACTACACTAGACCAACTATCTCTCTCTCTTTTTTTTTTTGTGAGGAAGATCAGCCCTGAGCTAACATCCATGCTAATCCTCCTTTTTTTTTTTTTTTTTGCTGAGGAAGACTGGCTCTGAGCTAACATCTATTGCCAATCCTCCTCCTTTTTTTTTCCCCCAAAGCCCCAGTAGATAGTTATATGTCATAGTTGCACATCCTTCTAGTTGCTGTATGTGGGACACGGCCTCAGCATGGCCGGAGAAGTGGTGCGTTGGTGCCCGCCCGGGATCTGAACCCAGGCCGCCAGTAGTGGAGCGTGCGCACTTAACTGCTAAGCCACAGGGCCGGCCCCCAACTCTCTTTTTAAGTGGCTTTCTGGACACAGATATTTCTGCCATTTGATAGATTACAGATTTTCAGGTACTCTAATATTTTGAGTTGTGTCTTACTTCTCAAGGTTATTAAAATTTAGTTAAAATCTGCTTTCACTGTGAAGAGTGTTAAAACTCAAAAGAATAATTGATATAGTCTTCTTCCCTCTTGTTAAATGGCATGATTTAATTTGCTGTGAAATTAGAGGAATTTAATTTTGTTAGGGCAGGATAAAGATAGGATCCTTGGAATAGGGTACTTAATAAACTATTCATGATGGAATTAAATTAAATTTCCTAAAAATTAAAAGTAATATAAAAGCACACCTAACATAAATTTGAGTGACAAAATAAGCCAATTTTTTAAGTTGGACTCTCATTTTTTTCTTAATAGGATTTATTAATAGAAAGATTCTAATTAATTTATAATTCAGCTTCTAAAGTTCACATAAACAAGATTAAAATAAAAGCAAGTGCCTTATGTGAAATTAGCATATGTTATCATGCTTTATAATTAAAAACTATTGGAAATTAAATTTTTTATGTGAACTTTTATTCTAAAATATAGGGAAAAAAATAAATGGCAAGCTGGATCCCTTGATATCCTTGCAGATTATAAAGATCAGGTATTGATTTAAAATCACTACATTCTGGCAAAATACTTTAAATGCTTCAGCAGATCCACTGAAGCATTTAAAGTATTTTGCCATTTATTGTTTTCTTTATATTTTACGATAAGATTATGAATAGCAACATGGCATATAAGTTGGAAATATTGTTATGTGCATCCCATACTCCTGGACTTGGAGAAATGTTCTGTCTGATTTTAACCTGTGAGTTTACGTATTTTCTCTTTATTTTGTTTATTAATAGAACTAGAAGTATTTTTATATACAACTCAATTAACTGGAAAACGACTATAGAAGGACATGGAAAGTCTAATATCAGGGTGGCCAAAATAAGTCTGATTCCACCAGGTTGTCTACAGACGACAGTGAATTAGATGTGTGGATTTACCCTTCTTAGGATTCAACAAATTGTTAAATTGGCTTCTAATGGGCTAAGGGAGTAAGGGAAAAAAATGTAAATTCCCCTCTATGCACAACAAGGTGCCACCACCACTGTCAAATCTGCTTCAAGATATCCATAAAATTGGTGAATAAACATTGGAATGCTGAGTCCAGGTACCAAAACTGCTCTAAACCCTAATATTCATGGTCTAAACCCTAATATTCATGATCTTGCATGCCAGCTGAAACAGCAGGAGGAAGCTTACTTCCTCTTTCCAAAATCTATGTAAGGTATTTAATTGGGGGAATCTAATTTTCATGCAGAATCTTAGCTTCAAAGGAGTTTAGAAATGCAGTTTTGAGCATTCCATGGTCTCCAAATAGACACGTATAATGAAGGTTGAAAGAGCCAGTCCATAGTATCTGCCACAGCCCCCAAGTAATTTTTGAAACAATTGATATTATCACAACAAAATAGCCCACTAAGAAAAGTTCCATACTGCTTGTTGTAAGGATATGACTTCTAATAAAGCAGTAATAGCAAACTTTTAAATGTTTACCATGGGCCAGTTGTAAGCACTTTACATCATATTTTTTTTTTTTACTTTGATAACGATCCTATGAGGTAGGTATAATTATTACCCCCATTTTACAAACGAGAAAACTGAGTCTGAATAGAATTAAGTAGTTTGCCTAAGGTTGCATAGGTGGTCAGTGGTAGAGCTGGGATTCAAGATCAAGTGTGTCTGAGTCAACACCCTCTAGTGCTTTTGCTTTTAATCCTGTGTAATCTTATGGTTGGGGGAAGTTAAGAATGGAATAGAGAGATGAAAGAAAAAAAGCCTATGGAGAGATTTTAAGTCCTCTCCCCTCACCAAACACACTCTAAATCCTAGAAAAAATTAGGTTCTCAGGTCAATGGGATTAAAATCCCTCTGGAGAGTCAAACCTTGTTCATAGATTTAATAATTCCACACTTTAAAACATTTACTGAAGTCTTTTTTTCCCTTTATATCTATAATCAACCTAAAATGTACAGAATACTGTATGAATGGGAAAATATTCAACAATATTTCATTACTAATAGCTAGTTGCTTAACTTTTTAAATTCAACTTTGTTGAGGCATAATTTACATTTAATAAAATGCACTCCTTTTAAGTGTTCAGTGATGAGTATTTTTTTGTGTGTGTGTGAGGAAGATCAGCCCTGAGCTAACATCCGTGCTAATCCTCCTCTTTTTTCCTGAGGAAGACCGGCTCTGAGCTAACATCTATTGCCAATCCTCCTCCTTTTTGTCCCCCAAAGCCCCAGTAGATAGTTGTATGTCATAGTTGCACATCCTTCTAGTTGCTGTATGTGGGACGCGGCCTCAGCGTGGCCGGAGAAGCGGTGCATCGGTGCGCGCCCAGGATCCGAACCCAGGCCGCCAGTAGCGGAGCGCGTGCATTTAACTGCTAAGCCACAGGGCCGGCCCCAGTGATGAGTTTTGATGAAAGTATACATTTGTGTAACTAGTATCACATTCTGATTTCTGTTGTTTCCCATAATGTTTTTGAGATTTATCCATGTTGTGTGTATCAGCAGTTCATTCTTTTTAGTTGCTGAGTAGTGGTCTATTGCATGGATATACCACAATTTGTTTATCCACTTACCTTGGTGGTTGAAGAACCTTTGCTTCTAGTTTTTGGCTATTATAAATAAAGCTGCTGTGAACATTGGCGTACAAGTATTTTTTTGGACACATTTTCATTTCTCTAAAGTAAAAACTTAAAGATGGAAATTGCTGGATTATATACTAAGTGTATGTTCAATTTATGAGACACTACTAAACTGCTTTTCTGATTATATTATTTTACATCCTCACCAGTGATATATTAGAGTTTCAGTTGGTCTATAGGCTCAATACCACGTGATAGTGTTAGTGTTTTTAATTTTACCCATTCTATAGGTTATGTAGTGGTATCTCATTGTGGTTTTAATTTGTATTTCTTGAATGACTAAAGATTTTGAGTATCTTTTCATGTGCTTATTGGCCATTGGTATATCTTCTTTTGTGAAATGTCTGTTCAGATCTTTTGCCCATTTAAAAAATTGGGTTGTTTGTCTTTGTAATATTTTATTTGAAGTGTTCTTTAGTATTGTGGATACAAGTCCTTTGTCAGATACATATATTGAGACATTTTTTCCCAGATTCTGTCTTGCCTATTTTCTTAACAGTGTCTTTTCAAGACACAAAGTTTCAATTTTTTTTCTTTATGGATATCCTATTGTTCCAGCACCATTTGTTGAAAAGACTATCCTTTCTTCATTGAATTACATCGACATTATTGTTTAAAATCAATTGATCATATATGTGTACGTATATTTTTGGACTCTAAAACTTATTCTTTTTCAAAATGGTTTTAGCTATTCAATGTCCCTTGCATTTCCATATAAATTTTAGAGTCGGCTTGTCTGTTTGTACAAAAAGGCCTGATAGGATTTAGATTGGGATTACATTGAATCT